TTTTAGCTTTTACTACTGGGTTTAGGGGTTATCTTGGCCCAAAGCCCTTAATGGGATCAGTTCAAGGCCTAGCAGCTACATTTTTAACTTTGGTCATCTTCTTGGTGATTTACAAGTTGTCCCAGTCCAGAAAATGAGGTAACTCAAAAACCAGGTTAAGTGTGAATGCAACAATAATTGGGAGGTGGGAGGAAAGAAGATGATTGTGGGTGGGTTATGAAAGCCATTCTAGGTTATCTACTCCAGAGATGTTTGAGGAATAGTATGAACACATGCCAACTTTCATCAAAATTTATTGGACTGGAACTGGGTGGTCTACCTACCCATAGACTAAACTTTAATTTGAATAATCCTTCATAAAGATGCTATAATATGCACCAGTCCATGCCCCTTTGAATTGGCTCATTATTTTTCTATTTTAGCTTTGCCTGTAACCTCCCATTTCCAGAATTATTAGCAATAACCGTTCAGACCCAGGAAATATAGGAGCTGCTAAACACCCTTGGAGATAACCCTACTAATGAAGGGTATGCTCTATCTTCCAAAATGCACTCTAGACCGGCCTTCCTCATTTGTGGTTTTGTGGAACCTTAGAGGTCCATGAGAGGTTGCCAGGGGTTCTGCAAGAGTTTATGATTGCAAAATCATCACCACCACCACCATCACCACCACCGATTTTTAATTTTCATACCATACAATGCTGCTTCTTGTAATGGTGGGAATTTTTAGGTGCCATGCCTCAGTCCTAGATACAATCATTTTTATGCAGGGGTTCCCTGAGACCTGAACATTATTTCAAGGGCTCCTCCAGGATAAAAAGGTTGAGAAAATCTGCTCTATAGAATAACAGAACATGTTTTTTTTTTTGGCTGAGTAATTGTTACATGATGATAAAAAGTTGAGGCTGAGGAAGAGAAGACACTTGGAGTGAGCAGTCCAGTCACTGAATTGACCTTGTTTTTTGCAGTCTAAGACAACTGTTGCATGTTACTTGTTTTTGCAGACCCCTATGTCAAAGTGAACCTTTACCATGCCAAGAAAAGGATCTCCAAAAAGAAAACACATGTCAAGAAGTGTACCCCCAATGCGGTGTTCAATGAACTTTTTGTCTTTGATATTCCCTGTGAGGGTCTTGAAGAGATCAGCATTGAATTCTTAGTACTGGATTCAGACAGGGGATCTCGGAATGAAATCATTGGCCGGTTAACCTTGGGGGCTTCTGCAGAAGGAACAGCTGGAGAACATTGGAAGGAAATCTGTGAATACCCTAGGAGACAAATAGCTAAATGGCACATGCTGTGTGATGGCTAACGAAGGAACAGGAGGTTGGAACTTTTCAAAGAGAAATCCCATAGGCAAGGATTAGTTTTCTTTCTTTGCAATGTATAATCACAGGCTTGTGCCCTTGGGGGTGGGGTGGGGGGAATCTTTATTGTTGTTAATGTTAAATGAATTGAATTATCAGAACAGAAGGTAACTACATTTTGGTTGAGGCTCTCTTCTTTTTGCAAAACCAAACCTTCCACATTTATCAAAGGTTCATATTCTGCAAGAGTATACGCCACTATAGGGACACAAAGTGCTGTAACCATAATTTGAAACGGTTTCTTTTTTAAAACTAATTTATGAGGAATCTTAGATCACTGTTGTCACCTAGAGGACAACCACCTCATTGATACATGTTGCTTGGTCTAGAAACACCTGTGTTTTTGTAAAGTCAAAAATCATGAAACAAATGAACAAAAAGGATTAAAATGGGATGTGTGAGTGGGAAGGAAATGTGTCCTTCAATTTGATTTTTTTTTTTTTTACAAAACCATTTTGCGTAAGGGTTAATTTATACTTTGAGTAATCCAAAGACTTGGGATTTTTTTTTAACAACTTGCATTTCATATTATCAGTCTCACTTGCTACCTTTCAAACTAGGAGGTGACATATTTTAGATTTTACACAAAGGACTGAGTCCATTACTTGAGATAAGTGCATTCAGCAATTATGTTAGCATCCTTGACAGGATTCACTTTGTTTAATCAAGGGCTGAGATGATAATGTAGGTGGGTGTAAATTTTACTATGAGGTTAGGGTTTGTGCTTTTACATATAGCCTATGGTGATTAAGAAAAAAAAAGCATTTATTTTGTCCTCTCCATCCCCCCTCCCCACATGAAACACTGAACTTTTCTCCCCCAAATTTAACCAGGTGAACTACTGTAGAATGTTCTTTTTACCTGGTATATTTTCAAACAGCTGAGGATCAAACTGAAACTTGTTTCTATTTGTTTCTATTTGTTTTATTATGCTAAACATAAAAACAAAACACACACAAAAAAAATTAAAAAAAACTCTAAAAAAGAGAAAAATGAACAAAAAAAAGTTAGGATATACATACCAAGCACTGAT